AAAAAAAAATGCAAACATAGTAAATGTCAAGTTTGAAATTTTTGTTGTAACTGATTATTTCTAAGAGCAATGTGGTAAATCACTAATCTACCGTGTACTGAGAAAATCACACTCAAAATTACTCTTTATTTTCAAACTTCTCCACAACCAGGTTTATGTGATGTTTCTTTCTTTCTTTTTCTTTTTTTTTTAAGTTTGTTCCATATTTAAAGACTCATGTTAAACCTAATGTGAATATTTTATGTAATGCTTTTTCTATACTAAATTTGAAAGTCTACAAGGGAATAACATCTTAATACTCTAATTGTTAAAGGGATTCAAATATAAAGAAGCTTACCGAAAAGATATCGTGGTGGTTTTGTTTTCTGTGATCAGAGTCAAGAGAACCATGCAAATCCATGTCTGGCAGAGCTAAAATGGCTATCTTGGTACCCAGGTTGTGCCTGATCACTCCATTTTGGCTTACTTTTGCTGTGTTCGAAATAAAAGTGAGTGTCGAGGTTTCTAGAGTGTTAAATCTCTTTGAATTGTCAAATTAAACTGTTTTCTACCTTATGAAGACACCTTGAGGTCCTACTGAGAACAGGAAATGTAGGTTTCTCTTTCTGATTGTGTTCCAGGAGTTTCTACCACAGGCCCTGTTGGCATGGGAAGCACGACCACCAGCACCACCCTCCGGACCACGACGTGGGGCACCGGTAGAAGCACGACCCCCTCAGTGTCCGGAAGAAGAAACCGGAGTACCAGCACCCCTTCTCCAGCTGTGGAGGTGCCAGGAGACATCACTACACACCTGCCATCTGCGGCGTCCCAGATTCCTGCTATGGAAGAGAGCTGTGAGGCTGTGGAAGCCCGAGAAATCATGTGGTTTAAGACCCGTCAAGGGCAAGTAGCGAAACAACCGTGCCCTGCAGGAACTATAGGTAATCTTCTTCTGAAGACAGAAATTAAAGGCCTTCTCTTACTTTTGGTATACTTGTCTACTATTCTTACCCCAACTCCTCTTGACCCTCTCTTCCTCCCGTCTTCTCTCTTCCCCTCCCCCCCTCCTAACAGTACACGGGGCTACTGAATGCATCAGTGCACAATTACACTGATGAAAAAAACCCACCCATGACCCAATCCTCACGCAGTCACACACACACACACACACACACACACACACACACACACACACACACACATTTGGCGGGTACTGTTTAGATCTAAACCATAACCTACTACTTCTCCACTTCAGACATTTGTTAGGGGACACTGCAGAAATGTCATTATTCTGTGGCAATTGTCAAAGCATTTAGAGGAAACTCCGGAAGCCCTCAAGGTTCTCCAAGGTGTTTGTCCATGCACTTGATCCTAGTTTTCACTTCTCTGCCCATTTTCCTAGACCTTGGTCTTGACTCTCACAACTGCTCACTTAAATTACAGCAATAGGTTTTTGGTAGCATCCACATCATTCTTTCAAACTCGTCTTTCGTTCTCCTGCCAGTTATTGTTCTAAAATCTAAATCTGATTATTTCTATCTTCTGCTTGATGGTCTTCATGGATTTTCAGCCTCCGTGGGTGAAAGACAAGAAATTTTATGATCTTCATTTCTCTACCTTTAAAACACTATGAAATACAATTCTTTTGCAGTGGCCTCCAGTTGAAAAGAAAATTAGATCTCCCGAAGACAGCATATTTCCCTCCACTTGACTGTTCTTCCCTTCTTTTCCTGTAAATCCTCCATGCTGATTCCTTTAAGACTTTACTTACCTCTTCAGACTGAAACAGTACAAGCCATGCAGGAAGTGTTACACTGATATAATTCATAAGTTCTTCCTCACACCTAGAAGAGTTAAGTGCTTTGAAAATGCTGAATGCTTTTGTTTGTTGGGCAACATTTCTCCAGTTTCTTATCAAGCTCTTTATTTGTAGCTTAATAGACCTATCTCAATTTAATTATCTCATTGTAAATTTTGCTCATATTTTAAGCACCTATAACACAATTATTCTGAGAAAAAATGGGTTGTGTGAAATAGACTTATTTCTTGCTTTGGTATAGGTGTATCAACTTACCTCTGCCTCTCTCCTGGTGGAATTTGGGACCCCCAAGGACCAGATCTCAGCAACTGTTCTTCGCCATGGGTGAATCATATAACACAGAAGGTAAATGTCATGACTGAAGCTACATTCTTTATTTGACTATAACTGCTGAGAATAATTTAATCACTTTAGAAAAAGATAATGAACACTTCTGATGTTTTAACTGAATTTCCCATTTAAAGAAAACACACTTTATGCTAATTTTAGAGCTTAGCTGTTTTTTAAAATCAGACTCATCACTTCCTCTAAGCCAGGCAGTACTGCTTATAGTAATTTTATAATTAATAAAAGTTCAATGGATTGTGAATTACAGATATAAAAGTCCAAGAGGCATTATATAAATCAAGCAAGCAAAACATTCTTGCATATATCCCAAAGGACTTTTTCCCCTGTGGGAGTAATAATTACAATACCAAACTATCTTTAAAATCTTAAGCCGTTTGATACATATCTATAACCTAATCATTTATCAGTGCTAAAAGTATACACATGTGTGACAGCCTCTTGCAAACTTGAATATGCAGGCCTTATTGGGTTGCAATATGTTGAACGTTTCTATTATTAATGTACTGTGGGGCTTTGAATTGATTTCACTACAAACAGAGACCAGATGTGCATTTATGCCGAAAGGGCTGTGGGATGAATCCTTATTATAGCAATTTATGTGGATTTATGCACTTCTAAAATGGCGAGTCCTTCTATGGCACATTAGCTGGCCTGAGGAATTTCTGAAAGAGAGTTTTTTTCCTCAGGAATATTACAAATGATGGCCGTACTAAAAGCTGGCCTGTGCCATTTGCTCTTTCTGCATTTGTTTTTAACCAAGCTTATCCTCAATAAAATAGTACAAAATAATCCATAAATATCTTCCCAGTAGATCATTTAGCAGATAAGCCAAAGCAATGTATTTACCCTAAATCATGGAAGAGCAGTAGCTATATTGGTTCTAGTCACCATCTTACATATGCACCTCCATACTTGTTGCTATTCATAATGACGCTTCTCCAATTTCAACACTGCGCCTGCCACAGTTTTTATGTCCTTTGATTTTATTGCAATGTAGCTCAGACCCCAGGGCAAATAACTTTTGCTGGATGTGATCAGATTAAGAGATCAGTGACATATCTTTTTATATTAGCAACTTTTGAAAGATACTCCCTGGATACTTAGCCCAGGGGTTAATATAAATTCAACAGTAATTCACCTAGAAAGCTGAATGTTTTCATGATAATTTCTGACTAGGGTTGGAGTTTTTCATTGCAGAAACGACTGACTTTAATTAATAGTGGTACTTGATTCCTTTCTTTCCTCTGTAGCTTTGCTAATCTTAGAGCTAAGGAGGTAATTCCTGTCAAAGAAGAGGTAGCAGTTGCCCATTTGATTTATAGATGGTTGTTTTGTTTTGTATTAAATAGTTCCAACTATCCAGAGCATTTCTCTTTATTCTTGATGAATCTGTAAAGTTATTACATGTTCTGTTATAATCGTATGAAAATTAATTCCAGACAACTGGAATGTATAACAATTTTGAACAATAATTTAAATTTTGTAATCTTCAAATGGTAACATTGCCAGCTTTTAAGTGGCCCAGGTCAGCAGTAGAGCTGTAATTATAACTGGTTCTCCATTCACCTTGGACACTCACCACAGCCCGGTCTGCAGTGTGAACAGGTTACTGTCCCCAGGCTCCCTTCCTAGCTCTGGAATCCTGCTCATTTTATACTGCCTTTGCTGCCTTCTGTAACTTTCCTTCTCCTCAGATTTTTCCACCATATTGGACAAGGAAAGCAGAACAGATGCCTGTAGTGCTTTCTTCTCCCTACCCTACTTCTGCTTCATAGAAATAGGTAGTGTCTTTCTCTCCAGGAGTTTGTGAGTGAATAGTCTCTGAAGGGTTAGATGCTTCTGCTTAGCAACAAATTCATTTCCCATGGCTTTAGGGCCATGATGAACACAGTGGCAGATTCCTTGTCTGGCAAGGGATGCTTTCTGGTGCTGAGGTAGCAACTTCTTGCCATACCTGCACATGGTGGAAAGGCCAAGAGGTTCTCTGGGCAGTAATAAGGGCAGCAAGCCATTACTTAGGGTACTGCATCCTGACCTACACACCACTGGAGATCCTCGCTTTGTAATACCTTTCAGTATAAGGTTAAACATGTGCGTTTAGGAGAACACAAACATTCAGACCATAACAAGCTCCTGGTCAGCTGTGCAGGGCCTCTGAGGGATTCCTCTGTCTTTAAAGGCAAATGTACCAGCCTGAGGATCTTAGCTGAGCTGTGGTGGATCAGCAAGTCAGAACCATCACCTTACATTTTCCCATCTCTAAAAAGGGCTAAGTCATTAATTGCAATATCAACAATATTTACTGTCTATTTATGGGAACATTTATAGACAACAATATAATATATAAAAATCAAGACTAGTTGCACAAAGCAAATTTTTAGATTTGCATCTTTAAAAATGAAGCATGTTATTTTCCTCAGTGATCAGCCTAAGAGGGAGACTTGAAATATTAACAGTATTTTTGGACTCACAAATGAATTTGAGCCACATATGTACTCACGAAGTTAAAGATGATTTCCCTCATGGTGTGAGCACCATACACAGGGCCTTGCACATGCAAGAGACACACTACTCTGCCGAACTAAGCACCAACTCCAAGATTAACTGTTATGTCAGGTGGAGAGTAGATCACATTTCACTACAGAAAATGTAGGCTTTTAAATGTAAGCTTCAGGTTTAAGAAGAAATTTGCCGCAGAGAAACTCCCCAGAGTTCTTTCATCATGATGAAGTGTAATAAAAAGTACCGCTTGTATAGAAAGAGAACTATATCCCAACAGGAAGGGTGAGGGGGTCTTTAGGTGGGAGCGCAGAAGGCTGGAAAATACAGTTGGATGAATGGACAGAAAAGTAGACATATAGACAGGCAGTGCGAACAAACAACTATTTCTTGACATCAATGTTGTAAAAGCATTTTCCGGTTTTCACTGAAAGGCTGTGTGTTCCTGGTTAATCCATTGTGTCAACTTGAGAAGTTTAGAAGTTTAATTAAGTGACGCAGCAGGGAGCCAGGATTCTTACTTGGTGAATGTCCTCATCCTGTGCAGGAGGAGGGCATGGACACTGTGTGAGTCCTACAGACCCAGCCCAGCATAACTGCTTTAATACAGGAAAGGAGAGCGGCAGCTGCTGCTGCTTCCCCCTTTCGTTCCTGTTCTTTTCCTGTCTTTTGCTGTCTTGAACAGTCGCTCCTGTGCCAAGCCACCCAGCCTTGGAGCCAGCTGGGCATGCACTGAAACCTCCATAAAGTATGAGCTAAATAAACCTTTCTTTCCTTCATTTTGGATGTCAGATGTTTGTCCAGCAACTAGAGAAGGTTAACTGAGACACTCCTGATGCATATGTGATAAACTGCTCTGCTTCCTCACCTTCCTTAGGGATTGCTATATAAAATCAGAGCTCCTAGATTCAGCTTAGACTGAAGTTTTGAGGTGGAATTTATATTTTCTATCTTGCATACTTATAAAGAATTCATTACAATTTCCAGTCTCAATCAGCTTTTCCCAATAAAGTTCTGTGATATTAGTTTGAATAGCTTCATTGTTATTTACACACAATGTGGGTGTGCATCTTACTCTGTAGTTTAGCCTAAATGGGAAAAGGAGTTGCCTAAATCATCACAGAAGATATGCTCTTTCCTTCTGAGAAATCACACCCCTTTTTCTTTTGTTGGTATGGAAGACTTTCATTTTCTGTAGAAATCTGGCATAGGTATTTATGAATGATATTGGTACTTTCTAATACAAATTAAACCAATTATTTGCCCTAGAAGATTAAATTGAGTCTGTCTTCCATATCTTAATGTCTTCATTTGAACTGCCTTAGGAATTCTTATATGAACTACAAGTGACTTGCTTCTTAATTTTATGGAGAAAGTATACTACTATGACATTATACTTACTATCTTAGTTACTTTCTCCTTGCTAGAGCAAAAATTTCCAAAACCCATAAATTAAAGGAGGGAAGATTAAATTTAGCTCATGGTCTGTAGAGGTTTTAGTCCATAATCAGCTGGCCCCAAGGCAGGGCAGCAGGGCAGAGGGCGTGGCAGAGGAGAGACAGTCCATGGCAGGGTCGACAGGAAGCAGAAGGGGATTAAGAGAGAAGGAGGGCTGTATGCTTCCAGGCACACCCTCACTTACTCACCTTTCCTGCCAGGCTGCATCCCTAGCATCACATCAGGAGGCTAATCCAGCGATGAGCATCACATGCCCATGATTCACACACCTCCCCAAAGCCTCATCTATGAGCACATAAGACTTTGGGGGACATCTGTGTATGAGTGGTAACACATTCAGTGGTACCCTAAAGCATTATTTTATATACTCACTTGACTCATAATTACAGTAAAATAGATAAATATTTCAAAGAAATGGTAGCTGTAGAGTGATGCATTTAAACACTATGTAGCCAATTTTGGCTCTGGATTAGTGGTTGACATAATATATTCTACAAAATCTTAAAAGCTTATTTCAAAGAAAATTATTTTTACTTGCATCAAAATTTTAAAATGTACATAATGTCTGTTTCTGTCATAATCATCATCCTTAACTAAAGCCACAACCTTTCCCATCCTCGTTCAAGTCCTGTGTATAACCCTACCACATAAATATAGGCATTACCAAGATCATTTACTAATCCTCACACTGCTCATAATTTTCCTGGTATGTATGTATTCATTTATAAGAAATTTTAGTAAGCTTCAGTAAAATGAAGGTTATAAATAAACATTTTAATGAAGTCTGTAAGCAAAGAATGGTTTTAAAAAGTGGGGGGCAGGGAGATAGCTGGGGCTGGGGAGATAGCTCATTAGAATAAGTGCTTGCCTGACAAGCACCAGGGCCTGAGTTCAATCCCCGGTTCCACCAAATAATAATAATAATAATAATAATAATAATAATAATAATAATAATAATAATAACTTTAACGCTATATTCATGCAAGAAGACCTGGGGGGACATTCAGAGTATATGTGCATTTTTTTGGATAAAACTTGGCACCTTGGACTTGTCAAGCCAGCGCTCATGCCACTGAGCTGTATATGTGCATTTTTGATGGAAAGAAAGTAAACTTAGTTCATGATAACTTTCCTGAAAGAAAGCAATGGTTATTCTAAACTTAACTTTCTGTATGTCAGACAGTCCTTGATTTAGGTGCCCTGTCTTTCCAGAGCCTACAGCAGGCCTCCACCTTGCCTGGCCACCCTCAATTCAGCTTTGAATCTTGGTTGTTAACCTCACCTTGCTTTCTCTTGCTTTGTCCCCTGCATTACATATCCATACTAGTTCCTGCACACTTCAGTTACTTCAACTGAATTCTTAAAATAATATCATCTGCTTTTAGGCACTCACATCTCCATTCTCTACTAGTGGAATACAACATTCCCTGAGGGAAGAACTTGTACAAAGTTCATCTTTGTATCGAGCAGGGAAAAAAGAGGTGTTCAAATAGCTGTTGAAAGAAAAAATTTTGATATTATTTATTCCATTTTAATGTGAAAAGAGAGATAGCTATAACAAAAACTGCTTTAAAAACTTCTCACATTTATTGTAAACTTTTTTGTAACTTATAACTCCTTTGTATAGTTTTTGTCTCACAACTTTCTTCGTGGTGATCATTGTGTTTTGGAATTTTTTGGAGAGTTTTAATTTAATTTTCTGTTTTATAAGTAAATACTTTTAAGATGACAAAATATTATTTTTAAGCTAATGTGCACATGATTTTTATATTTGGCCGTGTACAGAAGTGAATGGTTCTTTGTATATGTATAGGTAGCTGGACTTGTCATCTATATCTTTTATGTTGGGAAGAATTATATTTTGATTTAATGATCATTTTCATTTTTGCATTACTATACATAAGAAAAAGGGAGGGCCAGGGAGATGGCTCAGTGGAATAAGTGCTTGCCTGGCAAGTGCAAGGACCTGAGTTCAATTCCCAGTTCCGGAAAAAAAAAAAGAAGAAAAGAAAAAGGGAACTATGTGAACCTTGTTACCACCCTATCACTAGAAGTATGCCCACTCCAATATTGTGAAAATATTTCCTATTGTTCTATAATGCTAAAAATTGGAATTATAATATGAAAATACTAGTGCTACTATTTACTCTTGTTTAGTAAATATTTTAGCTTTTCATCATGATTACTAATAGAGATAGTGACAGTGAATAGTTACATACTTGTTTTTAAAAGCTTATTGATGAATAAATATTTTGCCAAGATGAGAAGGTTTGAAAGTGTTTCTTTACTATGGAAAATCAAAAACCCCAGAGATTATCTGCTATGCCTTACGATAGAAAATAACATCTCATGGCAATCAAATAACAACTACACCAGAACACAGTGATTAACAAAATAATAAAGTCCTCAAATATGGTCCTCATTATACGAATGGAATAGGGAGCAAACAACAGATAGAAGAAGATGCTATAAACGATGCTCTGATCAGAAGAATGTCTCTTTGGGAGGTACAGGACCTCTAGCTGTGTGGATAGTCATGTGTACTGTGGGATTTTTTGGTAAAGCTACCAGCCAGCTGTGCCAGTACACACACCTATTGTTGGGATACTGAGACTATATATATATAGTCAAGTATTAAACCTAGTTCTTGTACATGTTAAGCAAGAGTTTTATTGATTAGCTACATCTCTAGACTTCTGAATTTCAGAATTCATTAAATCCTTCACTAGATTATCAGTAAGTAGCATATTTATTTATATAAGTTTAAATCTGTTGCTTGTAATCAAGCTTATGTCACTTGGTGACAACTTAGAAGTACTTTCAGGACTAAACCCTGAGCCACAGGAATTTGTTACATGCTTATTGTTGAATACCATAAGGTGATCCATTTGGTCTAATAGGTTTGAGGATTAAAGTATTTTGCAAATTTCATTCAGTGCAGATTTTTTTTTATTTCAAAGATTTCTACACTTATGAACAATTTAATAATTCTTTAACGTAGCCTTCTTATATTGATATAGTTATATAAAACAAACAGTACAGAGAAGGGTTTCTCTTTTGTTTCTTCTTTGGCAGAGTGAGAATGAGAGAAAATATATATAAAATATATAAAAAGTATGTATAGGTTGTAGACCATGATCTCTCTATAAAAGGATAACATTGCATGTATTATTCTATATATAAAGAGAAAAAATTATGTATATTATTTTTATAACTAGCATGTTTTTATGTTGAACACTGAAGTTAATAATATTGGTTTCCATCATATTTTAAACTACTGCATAGTACCTATATAAAATGAGCAGTGTTCTATAATCATAATCTATTTTTTCTATCATAAGCGTAAATGGGTATCACTGGACATTTTCTATCATGTCTATGGGATTATATTTTATGTGTAATACTAGTAAGAGAAATTTTTGGATTACACAGTGTGCCAAAACTTTATACACACTGATATATCAAGCTTTATAGCTGCATATGGGAGCTATATAAATATACATTCTCAATAGTAGTTGATAAAGATGGTAGTCATTATTGCAACTTTGTTATTAAACTGAATTTTTAGGGACCTGCGAGATGGCTCAGTGGAATAAGCGCTTCCCTGGCAAGCGCAAGGGTCTGAGTTCAATCCCCGATTCCGCAAAACATAAACTGAATTTTTAGTAGATTTTTCCTCTATATTTGAAACATGATTACATATAATTTAGATTTTCCAGTTACTATACTTTATTTATTTTCAACATTCATTCTCGCTATAAACCCTAAACTGCCCTAAATAGTGACGATCCATTTCATTGAAATATATATTCCTATCTTCTTATTACCCGTGGCTATTAACTTTGTTCAGCTGGTCATGGGTCTGAGCCTTCATTTCATTTAATATCTTTGAAGTAATGACAGTTTCATATACTCCTGACAGAACATACTTGAAAATTCAACCTGTAGTTTCAGAACAGAAAAACACTAGAAACTAAGCAGTAATTTGTTACTCAGTCTAGGGGGAACAAAATTTCTTATCATGTATATAGTAAGAGAAAAGTCACTCTGAGAGCAGGAGTTTTATTTGGCGTAAATTCTTCACACAGTTTAGCAGCTGATGAATACGCATTTAGTGCGGTTAATATTCATTAATAGTCTTCACTAATGCTTAGTATTCATTTTGTATTTGCTTAGCTAACTAAGTGCTAAATATGCAAAAATGAAAGTTTGTGTTGTATTTACATCTAAGCATATAGAGTATGAGTAGAAATTTATAGTGCACATTTATCGCGAAGTCCAATTTAAAAACTCACAATAGAACAAACCTTTGGCCTTCTCCAAGGACATGGATAATTAAGGTGAGAATACTTTTTAGAAATAAGATTCTGCAGCTGGGTGTCCTAGAGCAATTCTGTAATAACCTCCAGGAGGTGAGACTGGGATCTTGCAAATTCTAAAAGGCTGTAGAATAGTGAGATGGCAGTGGGCTCGGCGGGGAGAAGGGGGGCAGAGAAGAGAGACTGGGAGAGAGAAAGGGAGAGCAAGAGAGAATAAGAAAGGAAATCCCTCCGGAGAGATTCAGAAGTCATTAACTTAAAGTTGATTTGTGAAGACAAGGATGAACTAACGGAAAAAATTGAAGATCTCAACCAGGTATAGATGGAATTTAATAACCCTTTCTTGCCTGAATGACACAAACTCATGTGCGAAAGCTATTAGCAAGACACCAATGAAAGTATTTGTGGACGATCTCTTTCCATTTTATTTCCTTTCGACATTGTAGTTAAAATCTGGAGAGACAGCGGCCAACATTGCTCGGGAGCTGGCCGAGCAGACCAGAAGCCATCTGCACGCCGGCGACATCACCTACTCTGTCCGGGCCATGGACCAGCTGGTGGGGCTCCTGGACGTGCAGCTCCGGAACCTGACCCCGGGGGGAAAGGACAGCGCCGCCCGCAGTTTGAACAAGGTAGGCGCCTCTGCTGCGCAACTCTTGAAAGCTGTAAAAGGAGTAAGACTTCTCTGCTTATTTTTCTTCATTTTATAGAAGGAAAGAATTGATAATTGAAAAGAACTGACAATCTGAAAAGGGTTGATAATTACGTTTACTTCATAGTTCAATTATTATAATGGCAGCATTTGACTTTCAAACCGAACAAATAACAAATGACAACTGCCCGCAAATCTTTGAAATTTGCAATATTGTTTTTCGTAATATAACTACTGGATTTGTATGCTGAATTCTGACTAAAGGAATACTGATTATTACGATTTATTTCATTTTAGTTTTCTTCAAACTTTTGTAATAAAAAAAACTGACAATAAAATAAGTATGTAATCCATAAGTAGTATTTTAGAGAACATAGAGAATGTTAATACTCCAATATACATGAGATATTCAAACCTAACTAATATTACTTTAAAAATTCATGGGGCAAGTGATTTTTACCTTTTAGCTCTTTTTGATTTTTAAATTACTCAGACTTTATGTCACTACCATTAAAATTTTTAAAGTTTAAATGTATTTTAGTAAATTTGAACTGTATATAATAAAATTATATTTTAAATTTCAGAAAAAATTCACTGCCATGAATACATTAATATCTATATAATCACTAATATAAAAATACATAAATTAGAAAAATAACATGTATTGTAAGTTACATAGTATATCACTTATCTTTATTGCAAATTATGACATTTTCAATTAACCTCATGGTAAAATGTCTGTGAGGATTAAAGCCATTGAATGTGAACAGTGCCTGGTCAGGATTGGTGTAGTAGAGATTCTCAGTGATTAAAACTTAATTTTAGATCCTTTAATACTTTGATAATCTTTCTGCTTGGAAAAATGGGAATTTGCCAAAGAAAGACTAATGCTCCTCCATGGAATTCAGTAGAAGGACATTTCTCTTTAGGCTGAAAAATGACTTTGCAGAATCGTCACTTAATGCAGTTAGTTCTTTCATGTCTTACTGTGGTAAGACTCACTCATCAAGACAGGTATTTTTAAAATTAATGATTGTTCAACACCAGAAAACCAGGCAAATAGTTCTACCTGCAATGTCTCCTCCAGAAAAGAGCTACAGTTTTATCTAATAGATGTATTAAGTATTTTTTTTTGTCGTGCTGAGCACATAGAACTTGAAAATTTTTCCACTTACAACCTGGTCGAAGTCATTTACACCTGACTGACTAAGCTACAGCTGCCTGTATAGCTGCCTGTATAACCAGCCGTGCTGCGATTTTCATGCTGTTATCCAAGCTAACTGGATACTGTTAGTGAATAAAGCTGCCAGCTATTGTTGCGCTGATGCACTGGTGGTAGTAATTTCTATTAGTGTTACACATCCATAACATGACTTGTTACAGCAGTACTTTGTATCTTTATTTAAAATGTTGATGTCTGAAGATATCAGGTAAAGCTGGCAATTAATGTCACATTCTAACTGGCTATAGCTAATCAGCTTACCTACTCTGAATATCAAATAACTACATAATGGGCAAATTTCCATTTATGAGGCCTTTTACTGCTCTCTTTTGTTTCCCATTTGGCTTTTTTCAGTTGTTTGTGTAATATGGTTTGTCATATGTTAATTTGCATGATGCGGTGAGGAGAGGGGAGGGCAGAGGTTATTCTGGTGCTTGCTGGCTTCTTCTCTTTCCTGTGGTTCCCATTTCCCCTGAGCAGTTATAATCTATCAGATTTGCAAAGTCAACTTAGCACAAATCAATTGGGCGCCATACTGAAAATGTGGAGGGTTTAGAGGCCTGCGGAATGAGGCTATGAATCAGTGATCCAAATGACAGCCCCAACAGTTTATTTGTGCTCATTCCTCTCTTAATTCTTCAGAGGAGTAGCTGTTTCATGCTCTTTGAAAAATTCATCCATTAGAGTCCAGAGAGTATTAGCTACACAGAGGCATCAGAGGAACTGCTCTTTAAAACTGGATTAATTTTCTTTTTTTAAAAATCAAGGCTATTGAAGGGGGAAAACAGTAGGGAAAAAGAGGAAAAGTCACATTCTAATTTATAAAGCTTTGGGGCACTTCTTTAAACCAGGTAAATAAACTGTTATTATTTATTCCTTTAAGCAATAGACAAAGATACTTGGGACTGAATAGGAAGCTGCTAATATTTTATTTATGAAAACATTATTGTATATGTAAGCAAATCACAGAATTCTATCCCACCAGTTTCTAACGTGTATCTTCTTGGCTAAAACTCTCAAAAGAAATTCTTTAAGAAACATAAAAAGTGACAGATCAAAGGTTAATCACTTTTTTATCAGAAGTTACTTACGTCCTGATATTTATTGCTAAAATCAAATAGTCATAAGTGGATATTTCTGTTCCAATAAACAGATTTTTTGTATGTAGGAACAAATGCATGTGTACACATTAACCATCTAGATGGTCTGCAAACCACAATCTGCTGTCTTTTAAATAGGTTCCAAACTTTTGGCGTAATTGACTTAACTTTTTTAGATCTTTTTTTTAACCCATAAATTAATAACTAACCTGACATGCAACGGATCATTTCAGGGGAATGGAGCATATTGATTGCTATTAATTTCTACTAAATGCATGGAAGTGTTTCTTCCCCTCATTAGCGGCTTCATATCATCCAGTCTTCACTGGGGCTGCTCTGAAAGGACATTCGCTGCTGTGTTTCAAGCCATTGACACATTTTGCTGCTGCTTAGCTTTCACTTTCTCTAGAGAGTAGTGAACCAAAAAGTAAGGTGTTTTGTGTAGATGCGTTCTTTTATTTTTCTTGTTTTCTTCTGTCACTAACTTGTTTTTTCTATTCTGTGTTTAATCTGCTGTCTTAATGGATTCAGCTTCAGAAAAGAGAGCGCTCTTGCAGAGCCTATGTCCAGGTACTTTTTGTGTTTTTATACACGTGATAAGTTGTTGAATTGTCTCTTTTGGTGGTCACATGTACGGACACCCAATAGAAAACTGATCACGTACCCCACTGACCTCAGAAGTTTCAGGGAGGGAATGGAGTGGGAGGATGGGAATGGAAGGGCATAGCAAGAGTGTCTGCTAAGAAGCGAGACAAAGCACGTCAGTGCCAGTGCTCGGTCACACAAGAGGAACGCAGACTGAGAAGGAGGTGCAACTTGAGGGGTGAACATTGGTCACCACCAAGAGGTGAGTTGGGTGTCACAGATGCGTCTCGAAGTTTTCATCAAGGTAGGTATGAAAACCTTTCATCTACACACTGAACACAAGTCTTTCAGAATTGGTACTCAGTAGGGTCCTGGTAAGTGTCAGATTGTCACAGGACTGGGACTGAGGAAGTTCCTGTAGTGGAGATGCTAGACGTAGACTGCTTAGAGGTCTACTGACTGACGCTTCTGGCAGGAAAAGAATTTGTTGGGACCCATCAGGAAGAGGCCAGGGAAAGGTTTGTTAGGCAAGAAATTTGATACATGTTCAAGAGAGGAATGTAGGCCCCCAAGAGAGAGTACAGCACACTGCAGTTTAGAAATAGAATATTTATGGTTTTGATTTTTTTTTTTTTTTAGATATTTGTAGGCCTGCTTGGCAAATGTGAGGTCATGAGTTCAATTCCCAATATTCCCAAAGTAAAAAGTAAAATTATGATAGAAATCTGTGGGATTTGACAAATCTGTATTCATTGTCTTGATTTAGTGGGTAGGAAAGGATGTTCCACTCAGTGAAAATTAATACTTTATTTGTAGGAAAATTCCTCCTGTATAGGTAAAAGTGGTCTATTCAAAGTGAAAGAACATTCTCTAGTTAAAAGAGGATGGCTGGGGCCGGGGAGATAGCTCACTAGAATAAGCGCTTGCCTGGCAAGTGCAAGGACCTGAGTTCAATCCCAGGTTCTGACAAAAAAATAAATAAATAAAATAAAAAATAAAAGAGGATAGCTGAATTCATTTACAGGTGAAAGAACTGCCCAGGTTTTGGGGAGGGGGGTGTCAAACTGGGCTTGTGTCCTGAAACTAGTTTTTAATTTTATTTTTTATTTTTATTTTTTTTTAGTTTTTAATTTTAAAATTACAATTTTTGACTCTTTTTTTCCCTTTTTTTTTTTAATATTACCTCAACAAAAGAGAAATAGCCTAGATTCTTGGTATGGCAGGCTATACTTTCAAAATGGCTCTTTATTGGTCTAAGTTTCCTTGTACCTATCTTATTTTCTCACTGCAAAAGTCTTAATCCCCATGCAAAGGTAATATTTATCCAGCTAATGTGTTTTAATTTGTGTACAAGAAGTAAACACTTTGGTGTGTGGATTTCGTGTGAACTAGAACAATCCTAGAAGCAAGCACTCTGGCCAGTTTCAGGAGAAGGAAAGAAGAAAGGAAGAAGGGGGAACAGAGGGTGGGGAGGGGAATATGGCAGTGTGACCACAAGATTTACTCCCTCTGTACATATAGCATCGTAGTTTTGAGGAGGAAGCCCAACTAATGTGTGATGATGTGGGCTCAAGAATCAACTTAATGTTTGTAAGATTAGCAGTATAAAAATTGAACTTTATCAGTTTATTTCCTTGTTAAAAATAATACAGAAACATGGACTTTTTAACCAAAACTCTGAAGAGATTAGGAAGATGTAAATACTAAATATTAGCTCTTTCCAATGATCTGAAAGTTCCCCTTTACTATCCTCCTGACTAATACAAGACTGGAAATTGCATTTATAATGAGGAACTGTAATACTGAACATAGACTCCTAGAAAAAGAACGAGATGGCTGTAAGGAGAAGTTAGAGGTGGGGAAAAGCACAGCACAGGTGGCACGCACTTCACAGACTGGCTTCATCCGCACAGGCTACCATATAATCATTTTCTTGGCAAATTTTTCTCTTCCAACTGGCACATTTTTAAATTCCATACATGAAATTCTTCATTTCCTCAGAAATATTAGGGAATAAATCAAATAATGCCACTAGTCGAGCATCTTACCATCTAGTGGGCAATGTTGGTTAGTGTTAGGCAGAAGCACTATTTGTTTTTAGGAAATCCATATAATACTTTAAACACTGTGCCGGCCACCTCTTAGTTATTCACCTACAGATCAGTTAACATAGGTGATAGCTGACAGCTCAGATTTTACTGTCCTTCTATTTGTTTGTGAAATAGACAAAAGAAAGCATAAGCACTAGGGTCCTAAGCCTTGTCTTGGTTAGTACAAATTATGACTAGTATACATAGCTAAGCAGTCTTGCTCAAACTGTGGTCTGGCTAGTCATTAGTGTGGTTCTGGCCTGCTACCTCCTGCCAGCATAGGGGAAGTCCCCATTCCTTTAGGTAATTGTGCTGCTCCTGAGAGAATAGCCACAATTCTTATCATGGGTTGATCTGCCTGAAGAGGATGCTTTTCCTGGAATCTTTTTTTTTTTTTTTTTAAGTGATGACATTCATCTGAACTTTATTTTATCAGTGAAATCCCCTCAGGATTTATCCTGAGATCCTGTACCTCAGGTTGTAGAACCTTTGTCAGTGTCAGCCATGTGGATGAGTCACGGCCATTGCTTGGCCAATGTGCTCTCCGTAAAAGCCTGAGAGAATGTTTTCTCTCCATGTGAGCTTTTAATTTTTTTAAATTTATTTTTCCCATAATTTTATTGAGAGACATATAGCAATGAGACAGTTTCAAATCAAATGTTTGTAAATAGAATATCATGTCTGCATCTTGTACAGCAAATAACCACTAGGAAGAGAGTATGCAATGTGTTAATTATTTCCTGGAATCTTGAACATATCTTTCTTACTCTTTCTGTGATGTCTGCAGTGGTAAAAGAGGGTGAGCGAGCATAGGTAAATTTAGGACTAGTCCTTCTTGTGTTGTCAGTATAAAGACAGATATTCTTTAAGTGATTAGCATGGATTAACATGTTTATGTACAGAGTGGAACAGGAATTTGATTCAGAATTTAAGGAGACAGAACAATGTGAAGCTAGAGGTGCCAGGCCTTTATTCTGCTGTTCATGACCTATTAAATGTTTTTAGTCACAAGTAAAGTGGCCCTGCTTTTAGCTAAAGTTATGCCTAAAGCCCTTCTCATGTGTGTGGTACTTATTGGTAACTCTGAATGTATTCTCAATGTAGAAACAATAGCAATCAAAAGTAGACTTAAATAGACAAAAGTATTTTTTACTGTGCAATTTCATGGAATAATAACGTACATGCAAATGATCAGAAGTGGTGTGTATACTACTGAGAAAAGCATTCCTGCTTCGTCAATACTCTGTATTTGGTCTTATCAGATATTTAGTCAGTAGCTGAAACATTTATTCACAGCCACTCAATTATAACACCAGAAAGTCAGCCATTGAATAAACTGTGCTATTAATTTTCCATCAGAGATTCATGTTTGGATGGCCATGCATTTCATAGATTTAAATACCGAAAGGCTAATTATCCCAATGGCCCCATGAAAAGGAACATAGAATGAAATAAAAAACAATCCTAATATTGCTCAAAAATGATCTTGAGCATTCAGTGGTGAAGAACAATTTTTTTACTTATTTCTCACACTAAGTACAGCTTATTCATCTATCTATCTATCTATCTATCTATCTATCTATCTATCTATCTATTATGGTATGATATGTAAATCTGTATACCTCCCAAAACAATATCTTTTCCAAAATTTCACATACAACAAAATTCATTATTTTATAAAGCAGTATATAAATTAAAGTCTTACTTTCTTATCTCTGCATAAAATCCTCTTTTTTTCCTTTTAAATTTCTTTTTCAAAAAGTAGCCTTATTATCCTCATCCTAATTGCTTCAAGCTCAAAATGAAACATAAGAAAAAAATGCAATGCTAGATTAATTCACCAAGGGAATGACTATAGGGAGAAAAAAGAATCTAGACATCTGTGACAATTAAGCTGGCTTTTCCACTTGATTGGTTTACGAGTCACCTAGGTGATTGATAAAGCGACTTCCTGGGTTGGATGGGTCGGGGAAGCAGGACCTTGGGGCTTTCCTCTGGCTTCTGCACCCCTCCTCTCTGGTGCTGTTCTGCTCTTCTGCATCCCAGCCACCGTGAACTGGGAAGCTTCGCTCCACCAAGACCTTCTGACTTGAAGTCTTTGTGTTGGAGCCACCTGATTGTAATCCTAGATCCTAGATCCCTAGAGCCATGGGCCAAATTAAACTTTGTCTTTAAGTTGCATATGTTGGATATTTTCTCCCAGCAATTGGAAAGCGTATCGATACAGAAAATTACATCAAAAGTGTGGCTGTTGCTGTACCTACATCTGATCATATTTCCAGAAGCTTTTGGTGCTCGTTTGAAGGAGGATTTTAGAAAGGTTTGGTGTTGTGGGCTGAAAAACCCCAGAATTTTTGAAGACACTGTCGTGTGCAATTTTGGTTAGAGATCTGAAAATCAAAATGCTGGAAAGAATAAGGACAACAAAGACCAGGACCATAACTCTTCAGACAACAATGAGGACTCAACTGGAAACTGGACTAGAGGTTGAAAACAAGTACTTTGTTAGACCAGAAGAAAAATGCCTTTGAAGACAACTTGGGAATCAGCAAGCCTCTACCGATGGCAGTGTCAAAATTGTAAAAGTGTTATCCTTTTCATTTGAAAAGAAATTCCTTGAGATCCTTGCTCAAGAAAGGCCTAGGAAATTAGTTTCCTGGGATCAATTGCCACATACTCAGCCATCCAGGTAATCAGGGGCTCCTAAAACCATGATCTAAGGGAGCCTGACTACTGCTTGGGCTGGTACCAGGCCTTGACATTGTCCATGTGATACTTGCTAGGTTTTTTTAGGCATGCAGAAAGCAAAAAGCTTGTGGACATAGCGGCTTACGTCCTGATTTCAAAGAAATACCTGGAAGGCCAAATGGTGTGCCCCATAAAGTCAGTATCTGA